AGCAGACGTCTCTTGAGGCACATGGGCTGTCTTCAGAAACTTCACCAGAGCTTTCGCATGTGCCTCGGAGCACAGTAACAATGCCATCATGGAGATTTTGGAGGGAGTTTGCCCTAACGGTTCAACTACGTCGTATTCGCTCTTCTTTATTATTCTCAGGATCTCCTCCATTTCCTTCTTGGAGGTTTCGGGGATAGTCAGCGGTTGAGCCTTTGTCCGGACAGGCTCTTCTTGAATACTTTTTCCTCGAATTTCAGCAGTAGGAGTGTTGGCAGGGATAACAGCAGGGGTTGTGTCGTCTTTATTATCAGGAGCACTTGCAGATATAATTATTGGTACGGAGGTAACCTTTGGAGCAGCCCCAGGTCCAAAAACTGCCTTTTGGGGGGCAATTTTTGGAGAGAATATTCTACCACTTCGGGTAATCTTACTGGTTCCGGCAATATTGCTAATGTCTGAGTCTTCTTCTTCGGAGCTTATTTCTTTGGCAGTCAGCCCATCTTGTTTGATACCATGGTAATAGATGTCCCCACCGTAATTCCATGACACTGTTTTGTCTGATTCATACGGGACCGACCCGGGCATTGTGATTATAAGAGGAGTAGTTTTCGGAACTGATGTAATCCTAACGGGTCTTTTGGGGACCCTGGAAGAATTGGCAGAGATGGTTATGATTGAAACGTCTTCAACAGGAACGGGTGAAATGGGAGCACTTTCAAACATAATTTCCTTGTTGTCTATCAAGCGTTGAATTCCTGTTTTCAACAAAGGGTAAGCAGTTGGTGAGGATAAGCAGAGATGGAAGTCTTCATTATAACCCGAGAATACACCGACTTTCAACAAGCTTATTTTAATGATTGGGAGTAGAGTCAAGAGTTCATCAACTGTAGTAACAAACAAATCTTCTTCTATTGCATTGGTGTTGTGACCATGCCTAGGCATATGAGCAGAAATGACGTTTGGTTTCTTGGGTGCATCAAACTCAATCTCCTTTGCCTCTATAAGGTCTTGAATCTTGTTTTTCAAGGCCCAATAGTTGTTAGTGTCATGACCCGGACTTTCAGAATGATATGCGCATCTGGAATTTGGGTGATAATGAGGGGATGCCATGTTGGGGTTCTTGGGAGCTTCTTTCAAAGTTTCCAAATTAGATTTCAAAAGGTGCAGTAAAATCTGGGCTAGAGCCATATTGATTCTGGTGAATTGTCGGACTGGCCTTTCCACCCTCGGTTGATTACTTCTTGGTTGATCATATGTAGGCCTTGGGATCATAACAGCTCCTACCATTGGTCGGCGTTCAGCTCTCCCTTGGTTCCTTTGTGGATAAACAGCAGATACCTCCTTCTTCCCAGTGAAAGGCTTTCTTACATCTGTAGAGGCAGATGAATCCTTCTGAATCTTTCCACTTTTTATGCCAGCTTCCACCCTCTCTCCGGTTAGTATTAACTCAGTAAATCCTGCAGATGAGCTTCCAATCAGATGGTTGAAGAAAGGGCCTGATAGAGTGCCTAAAAACATATCCACTAACTCCCTTTCAGACAGAGGGGTTTGTACTCTCCCAGCTAGATCTCTCTATTTCTGCGCGTAATCCTTGAAACCTTCATTGGAAGCCATAGCCATACTCTGAAGTTGAGTACGGGTAGGCGCCAAGTCAGCATTATATTGATATTGCTTATAGAAAGCTGCGGCAAGGTCTTCCCAATTGTGGACGTTGACCCTTTCCAATTGGTAAAACCAATCAAGTTGTGTTCCAGATAGGCTATCTTGGAAAAAATGCACCCAAAAGTCTTTGTCAGCGAAGTGCGGCTGGATCTTTCTCACATATGATCGGAGGTGCATCTTAGGACATGACACCCCATCATATTTTGCAAACAACGACACTTTGAACTTCGGTGGGATCATAATTCCCGACACTAGTCCCATATCTTCAAAGTCTAGATCCGGTACCCTTTGCACTTCCATAGCGTTCAATCTCTCTTCAAGATGTCTGTACTTATCATCAGCTGGAGGATACTGTTCCTCAGAGTAGTCTTCCTCTTATTCCTCTTCTTCAGATTCTGACGGAACCGCTGTTTCCTTTCCTTTTCCTTCATCAGACGTTGTTGCAAAATTCAAGGTTATTCTAGTCTTCCCTTGAAACCTTCTCCCCATGATTACAACACCGGTTAGTTTCTTCTCTTTCTTCTTCTTCTCTTTAGCCAACAGAGTCTTCAATTCTTCTTGTCTTTTGACCAGGGTCATGAGTAATTGTTGAAACTGCATGTTTTGAACTTGAAGATCTTTGACTGTCTGTTTGAGATCCATCTTACTGAAATAAATAGTAGAGAGATGAGGAAACTCGTTGCAAAAGACCTGTTTATGTTATGATGAATGATATGTGCATATGCAATGTTTTCAAGGATTTCAAAGATTCAAGTTCGTTTTAGACAAAAAGAAACACACATTATATTAATAAGATAGAGTTTGAGTACAACAATTCCCCTTGGGAAAAATAATACAACTCTCTAAGATAAAAAAGTAGTGTGCATCCTCTTTGGTGCAATGTAGGCATTTAGAATCTGCTCCTCGTGAAGTAGCCTAGTGAGTTCCAAAACCTTCTTCTCACTTGCGTAGAATTGGGCTTCGAAAGTATCACGCTCTCCTTTGAACTATATCCAATCCCTTTGTAGGTCTTCCAAAGATGTGGGCGTGTCAGGATGTAGGATAGTGTATGGGACTTCTCCTTCCTTAACAGGCTCAATGATCACCGGGAGAATGGAAGGATATGGCATCATAAGAATTTGAGCGTGGGTTCGTACCCACTTGAGGTAAGGCTCAAGAGGGATGGAATTCTTGTGTCCAAAGTGTAATACCCCAAATTTGTCCTACCCTTCTACTTTTATCTGGTTTATGCATTGTCGCGCTTTTCTCATGCACATATTTCCATTAGGTCATTTAACATTGCATATATTCGCTAACAACATAACTTGTCATGGGATCAAAGATTTTGAGGTGTACGGTTTCTCTTTGGCTTTAAGAGTCTCACTTTCATTCAAGGCTGATTCATGTTATTTACTTAACAATCTTTGGCTTATGGAGCTAGGGTTTTTGTATGCATGATTCATCGAGAATTTCTTGCATCGGGATATTATAAGACATCCATCTCTAAGGTCCCTTCAAAAGCATCAAGTGTTTACTACCTTCTCAAATGACTCGGATTCAAATGAGAATGCTTTGAATTAAGGTTTTTGTACTTATCTTCATCGTTGCAAGGGTTAGATTCCTGATAGGAGTCTATGAATTTGAGGATGCTTGGGTGATACTTTGGTTGCTCGGGATACAGGGTACAAGATATGGTGTGTGAATTCAAAACATCATCACTATGTTAGATATCAGTTACTTATCATGCAAGTTAAGTCTGGCTCAAATTCGGAGAGTTAAAATTAGAGGTTCATTGAGAATGCAAGATAACTTGGATTTGAAGTCGATTCAAGTGGTTCCATTATGAAAATTTGGTAAGTATTCGATCATAAGGATGTTTCTGAAAGCAAGATGCAAAATATAAGGGCTAAGACACAAAGGCATTCACACAAAGTTCGACATTGTTCAAACTCTTCATCCGTAAATTTCATCATCCTTTATCCAAGTTTATCCAAACTAAATCATTTCCAAATCCATCATTCATCATTATCATTCAACAAAAGCTTGTTCAAATTTCTCATTATTCATTCGAACATTAAAGAATAATAAACATGGATTTTTGAGTGATGGAAATAAAGTACGGATCTTTTTGTCATGGCAAGCTTCAAACTTGAAGTTCCGTTCGAAATGTTATTCAAGTATCGATAAAATCTTATCCAAATTCATTCAAAGTGCAATTAGAGTATGGAAGCATCATTCATTTATCATCCGTCAAAATTAGGGATCTATTCCCAATTCTTCCATCAATGTTTGTTTCAGGGACTTAAGCTAAGTATTCAAAATAGCGTGGATACTACGTGGAAATCATTTGAAAAGAAATAAAATGGGAGAAATTTCATCAAATTCAAAGATATTCAAGCATATTGTACAAGTTCTATCAAAGTTCGTTCAACTTCATTCAAAATGACAAGAATACAAAGTTCTAAACATGACAGTATGAATTTGGTCCTAAAACATAAGAATTCTAAGTTTCTATACTTATGAACTTCATGCTTTTGGTTGCAAAAACCAAACTTCAAGCTTCCATAACATCTCAAAGTAATCTCCATGCTTGATGCCCTTATGTCTTGAATTTCTTCACCATGTTTTATTCGCATCATCTATGACCAAACTTGCTGTTAAAACCATCTTCAATATACCTTTTCATTCACCATGCCAAGCCGCACCACTGAACCTGCACCACACACATTCATTATCATGATCATAAAATCTAAAAATATAGCATAAAACTAACGTGTTCATGCACACATCAAGTCACCCAGCTGTTTCAAGAATACCATGACATCACATCTGCTTGCTAACCTCACTCCACCTTCAATTTATTTTCATAACCGAAAAATAATTGATACTAAGAGAAACCCATCTCGGTAATTCACTTCATTAACTTTCCTGACATATTTTTTCTAACTTCTCCAACTAACTTAACAAACCAACTAAACAGTCCAAACAAACCCCTAACTAACTATAACCAACTTTCCATTTCTTAACTACCTAACCAGATTCATAACTAACTTAACCGACCTCTAACCAACTTCCTAACAATATATAACAAAAAAATGACCTCAATTGATTCATTCTTCATAAAATCGCCACCAAAAAGAATCCAAAAGTCTCTTCATCCTCACCTTGAACCCATGATTCATTGCATAAAATTACAAACAGAAGTTCTTCAACACCCTGAAGAATCACCATCAAATTCCCTCTCTTATCTTCATTATCCAACTTTCATCTCCAACCTGCATCAAATTGCAACGCAATCAACAACAATCCACAGAAACGTAATCGCAAAGCAAAACGCATAACAAGAAGGTGAAGAGAATATGAAACAAAGAAACAGTTATACAGGGGGAACAAACTCCTTTTTCAGATCTCATTCTCAAGACTTATCTCTATCGAATCTCCTTCCGTTCTCAAGAGAAGTAGCTGGATACAGTAGGAGGAATCTGAGAGCATCGCGTTCTCCATTGCTTCTTCATCTTCTTCTTCAAACAGTTGGATCTATTTTGGAAGATTTCTCAAGAGTTGAAGCATATGAGCGGGTATTTCTTCATCACTCTCGGCAAGCTTTCCGCAACAACACCATCATCATCGCATCTCTTGTAGCTTCATCTTCGAGAATCTTCATGCATACCTACAACGATAAGGTTCGTCATCGTCACCATCTCAAGATCAATTTCAACAATGACAATTCCCAAAATCAGAATTGATGAATTAGAAAGAAAAAAGATTATCGAATCAAAAATGAGTCGCACCATGAGAGAAGAATCGCGACGGTGAAGGTGAAGAGGTTTCTGCCGCCGCGAGAGAGGAGGGTCGGTCTTGGCTTGTGGCGGCGACATTGGATGAAGGAGAGAAGTGATGTTGAGACTACGGTGAAGAGGGCAAACAACGGCCTTACACTGCAAATCAAAGAAAGGGAGAGGGATGAACGGCGGCGGTATGTGGTGAAGCCGAATCACGGAGGAAGACGGTCGGAAACCGAGATTGTCACGGTGAAGGCACGAGCGAAGTGAGGCTTAGCCGTTGAGGCAACACGGGGTTAACAGAATCTGGAGAAGGAGACGGCGGAAATGGCGATGTGTGCGCCGCGGAGGAGAAGCTCAAATGCCATAAAGCGAAACCCTAGTGAAACAACTTTGTCTCCTACCCTACATATTTTCCTCTCATTCTTTTTTATTATTATTATTTTCTTTTTTAATTTAAATCAATAATTGATCATTAAGGTAGAAGTATTTAGTGGATGGGCTTATGGAGCTTGGAACGATGGAGTTGGCCCGTTACACATACTTTTTGGAAGCCAAAAGCCCTTTCAACAAAAAAAGGAAATTCCTAGAATCTTCTAATGGGCCTAACGCCAAGCCTAACACCCTGGTTTCAATACTACACCCCATGTCCTCATAATCTTTAGGATTTTATCTTTGCACATAATTTTGTCCATTTTTTTTTTATGATAAAATTCTAAAATCCAAAAGAAAACTTGTTAGTTTTTTTATTTAGGAATTAATTCTTGTTTGTTAGAATTTTCTCTAAAAAATAATAATAAAAAGTGGTAGCGTATAATAGAATTTTTTCTAGAATTTCTCTTTTAGAATTTTAATTAGAATTTTCTATTATTGTTTATGTTTAGTAACCATTTTCGTTTTCATCTTTAACCAATATTTTGTGATAGTATCAATGTAACTCTTGCAATATGGAATGCTCGGGGTTAATTCTTCAATCACTCGTTCAAGGAAACTTTGATAGAATTTTCTTATCGCTTGCACAGTTTCGAAGAGGTAACAGACGTTCTCCATTCGGTATCATCGTGACCCCATTTTATTCCTCGTTTTTGCACTTTATTGCTTATTAGTTTTTGCGTTATCCTTGTAAATACCATGATCCCTTAGGGTATTTTGTTCAAATTTAATCTTCGATTCAATTGAACCAAAATTGGACATTAGGATTATAAATTCAAACATGCTAACATTAGGTAGAATTCCCTCAAAATTCTAACTTTAGGTCTAACCACGCACGATAACATCAAGTTTAGAAATAGGCTAATTCCCCTTTAACTTTTCTTTCCCTTTCGCATACGCATCTAAAACTAAAACTTCTTTTCAAGAATTCAAAATACTTTAAAACTATTGATGAGAATCATGCTTTTTCTTAGTACGGGAAATGATAAGCGAGTCTCTTCTCGATCTTATTGTTCTTCATCTCAAGCGTAGGTGTGGTTCAATTCTCAAAGACTCCTTTCATGACTAAGTAGAAAAATGGCTAATATCTCTCTCTTGAGGTCGACTAGTCATTATCTACAACAAAATACAAAACAAATTCAAATATTTTGTGCGCTCGAGCACCTTTTATTTTAAACCCTTTTCAGGTAAGGACATGATTAATTTACTTCTGTGCAACGCATAAGTCTCCAAAGGTCGAGCTGCGGCAGAAGGCGGAATTAACTTCATCCGTAAAAAACACAAACAAACAAAAACATATGAGCCGAACTACGGTAGCTCTGATTCCTCAAAACGGATACGTAGGCATTGGGGTAGGGCCCAAGCGAGCATAATTTTATTTTCCCTACATTCTTTTCCCCTTTCTTTTGCATGCATTCCTCTAGTAGTATAGTAAACAGTAAGCATAGATTAAACACACCCATAAGATAGATAACAAGAGTGGATACCGTAGAGTACTACGGGCGTGTGGGGTGCTAATACCTTCCCCGCGCGTAACAGACTCTCTTACCCGATCTCTCGGTCGCAAGACCGTGACTTCTCCCTTCTCAGGTTTTCTCGATGTTTACCTTTCCCTACATGTAGGATAAAAGACGTTCGATGGCGACTTCATTGTTTGATGATTTTTAGCCGGTTGTTTCACCAAGGTTATGCTATCCACCTTGTTTAGCATCCTCCAAGCTCGGATGAATCTCTGGCGAAGACCTTGATCATCGTTGTCGTAGTCGAATACCAAGCCTTGAATCAGCATCTCGTGCGGTCCATCCCTTCGGGCATAACCAAACTGTCTTAAAGCTAAGCATGGGTTGTAGGTGATGCCTCCCCTAATGCCAAGCAGAGGGACATTAGGAAATTCCCCACAACGGTCAACAATGATAACATTCTCTTTGGATCGGGAGCACCAATGAATGTTTGAATGTTTAAGCGTCATTAACCTTTGTGACCACCTCAAACCTTGCTCACTCCTAAAGACTGATTGGGGAAGATGAGAAATAAACCATCTTTCCAGGAGAGGGGTGCAACACATAAGGAAACCTCTTTTCCTCATTGTACGAGTGTGAATAGAGTGTAGGATATCTCCAAGTAATGTAGGCACCGGATTGCATGACATGAAGATTTTGACGGTGCCCACATATATTAGTTAGTCAGGATTGGGGAACAAAACCATCCCATAGATAAGAAGAGCCACAATTTCCTCAAAGGCTTGCAAGTCTAAGGAATTCCAACATATTTGGGCTTTCTCAAACAGAAACTTTGCTAAGAAGCCTTTGACACCACTCCTAGTTTCCCAATGAGTTGTAACATCAAATGAGTGCAAGTGCAGAGCTTGAGCAATCTCTTCTGGCTTTGGGTCTCTTTCCGTACCGTTGAAAGGTATTTGATTGAGAATGGCAATCCTAAAGAGTTGGGAGAATTCTTCCAAAGTGGGCACAAGCTGATAGTCGGGAAATGTGAAGTAATGGTGCAAAGGATTAAAGAACTGGAAGAGCACCTTCATCATATCCTCCTCTGTGTTGGAGGTGACCAAGTTGAGTAGACGACCATGCCTCTCGGTGAATGGAGAGTTCTCAGGGATCCTTGAAGCTAGCTCCTTGAGTTGTGGAGGAATTATTACAAGGTTGACTTGGATAGTTTTCCTGCGGAGTGAATCCATATCCTACAAAACAAGAACAAAGATGAATCTCCAAAATCCTTAAAATGGTTAGTGGATGCATATGATGCTCATGATGTCCATGATGTTATGTACAAGTATGCATATACAAGCAAAACAAACAAGTTCTTAGTTTAGGCTTGCATGGGGTTTTATAGGTAAATACCCTCTTGAAGTTTAGTTGTCTTAAACCTGTCCTAGTAATAGTAATCGGGTTCTAAGGAGCTCAATATCACCGGATTGTTTCCTTGGTCATTTTTTCAGCTCGGGCCTCTTTAATGGCGACCAAAATATCCCAAGAATCCAATGCTCAATGTGTGTAGTATCGAGTATCTACCAACTTCGGACTGCACCAAAGCCGATCATCTCACTATATCCTAAAGGCCAAGTTGGTCAAGTAAAGGGTTCTAGAAGTTCATTAGTGCTTCATGACATCACTCAGCGGCCCCGTATTCTCTTTGATTGACTCAAAGGCTACCGGTACCCACAAATATGTCACACTAATATAGCTATTGCTTAGACCATGTCGGTATACCCCACACAGTTTCCACAATGTATTGCTATTTACCTATAATGTTTCCCAAATCCGGGTGGAGGATTCAAACCCAAACAAAGAACCATAATGTAAAGCAAACAAGTCAAACAATGTAAGCAAATAAATGTGATCTAGCCCTAAGGTAACCCAACTTTTATTAATACTCCCCAGCAGAGTTGCTAGTTCTGTGATACGTTGGGAGAACTGACTTGAGGGTTTACGTTTGTGTTTGCAAATTTTGCGGTTAGCAAGATTCGCCACCGACTTTTCTTTTATCCAATAGGGAAAGGTGAAAAATGAGAGGAAAGACCTTTCGAGTTGTTTTCTTGAGTTTGGGGGGTAGATTATGAAAAGGGAAGGTATTAGCACCCTTTTCATCCATGGTTTTCCATGGGGTCTTAGTTACTTGCTAGATCACTTGCTTTTTGTTTTGAAATTGTGCTTTGTGTGGTTTTGAATGTATTTTGTAAAAAATGCCATTTGTTTAGGCAATATTTGTAATGATTCTCGTTCGTAAGAATGTATACAAAGATGTTTGTCTTTTTGAAAATGTTTTCAATGATTGTAAGATGTTTTGAAATGTGTGTGTTTGTTTTGAAATAGCAAGGATAGTTGTTTTGAAATGGAGCAAGTAACTAGAAGTAATCTACCTACTCAAATGTCTTTCTTGATCATTTTCTATTCCTTCGACATTGTTGTCTTACCATTGATTTGGTAAGCAACCCTATCTTTGGATGTAAACGGGACGGGCGTGGGTCATCGTATAACCATGATAACAATGTTGTGAGTTGACTTAGAACTTTTTCTTTAGGGACTAAGATCATTTTGAAAGGCAACTGTGATAGCGTCATCGAGGGACTATGATCTTGTATTTTTTATTCGTTTGTGCTAAGACATCCCACATGCATATCATGATAGTTTTTAGGCAACAAGTGTGGTTACCCTAAGGGTGCATGTGTGCATGTGTGTTTGATTGCATACATTTGTCTTTGATTTTTGGTGGTCTATTTATTGGTTTTATCTTGCCATACACGCCTATTTACTAGCATTTACATTTGAAAGCGATAAATTGCAGAAATGTAAGGTCCTACGCTATTACAATATTTAAGGGGTGGGGGTACAAATTTATGAATGGGGGTTGCAAATGAAAATAAAGCCCTAAATTACTATTACAACCATATTAAAATACATACTAGAAAATATTAAATGAACTTGTTTTATTTTTAAGAATATTTTTTGTCTTTTGTTTTAAGAAATAAAATAAAATGTGAACGAAATATTTTTGATGTTTGCTGATTAATGAAATGGAGAGTGACAACAAAAAAATAAAGAAAAAGAAAATAACAAGGGGAACAAAAAAAGAGGATCAACCTGTTGCTAAAAGGAAATCACAGGTTTGAACCCTGTCATACTGCAGAACAGAAACCTGTTAGTAAAAATGTATAGGTCAGAGGTTCTGACCCTGGCACGCTGCAAAACAGAAACCTGTTAGTGAAAATGTATGAGGTTACAGGTTCTGACCCTGCTGGGAACACAGTAATTTTCAGAAGTTCTGATATTACTGATAACAAAATAGGCTCCAGAAGCGCTGGTGCCAATGATAGAACTTGGTCT